AAAAGAGTGAAATGTTTCCCGAGATAAGCGTACATATTATATACACTACTCTAGGCAATGTATCGTTGCTCTTGCTGCAAACCACCTGGTAAACATTTCCTTACACGGTACTCGAAAGCCTCTTTCACTCTATGATGTAAAGTCAAATTAAGAGTATATTACGATTACGTGTAGTATGCCGACGGAGCAAAACCCTAGACGTATTGTACTGCGCAATTACCATGCAGGCTAATGGACTTAAAGTGTTCTAAATTACCCAAAGCTGTCATCTACAACGTTTCAAATAGTATGTGTAGCATGGCTATGTTAAACCTCACAAAACAAAGTAAAGCAGCACACGCACGTCATTATACCGATACGTATGAGACCCGGGCTTAATCCGGGCCTGATGCAGACCCGGGCCCGACCTGGGCCCCAAGCTCCCAGGCCCGAGCCCGGTCCAACAACCCATTACCCTGCCTGACCCGGCCTGCGGGCCCGTGCCTTTGGAGTAGCCCGGGCCCGTGCAGTGCTATAGTCTCAGGTGAACATGATACTTATCCACACCAACCGGATGCGTGCAGCTTGTTTGAGATCACATAACACCGCTGGCGTGCTAAACGATTAACGAGGCAGCACGGCTCTTATGATGCATTCTTCTGTTACAGAAATTTTATGGAGCACACTATTGTGCTTCGGTTCAGTATTGCCCTGTACGGATGCCGAAGGGGGGGGGGGGGGCACACTGCTCTGGCATTCTTGTCCTACCCAAGCGACGTGTAAATAAAACAATGTGTGAAGAGTAGTCAAAATGGTCACAAACTGAAGGATCACTCAGCAAAGTGAAATTGATCAAAAACAGCTTCAATCAACAATGACCAGCAGCCGCCTCAGTGATTTGACACTGCAGAGTGTAGTAGGGTAAATGTTGAAGAGCTCATCAACAAACTGTCTCAGCAAGAGGCACGAAAACGCTTATACAAACGTACATACCTCCGTTTTCTACTAGAATAATGAAAACAGAGAATATATTAATAAGTATACATGCCCCATTTCAAGGCTGCATTTCTGCGAAACAGTACACCAATTTTCTACACTATGTTTAAAAAAAATTTTGCAAAAGTTTCAAGATATTCTGCAGTTCAACTGCAGAATAGATATGTGCAATGAATATGTTTTCTTCTCCTATACACCCTATGAAAGTGAATATTGCATGCAAAAATGTAACCTTATTACATGCCTAAAGGCGAATGATTCGTGCATAAATAAAAATATATGCAGGGGTGCAACAGCCAAAATACTATTTGGAGCAGTTTTTGGAGCAGCAAACCCTTACTTTTGGAGCACTAAATTCCAAGTTTGGAGTAGGTTATGGGGGGAAAAAACATACATTTTTAATCATGAAATACCAAATTTGGAGCAGTATAAAAAAGCAGGCTTAAATTTAGAAAAAAAATATGTATAAATTATTCAACATCACCCAAATAGTACGGTGTGAACATCAGCACTGCCATTTCAATGAAAGTAGTATTTTGAACTACAGCGCTGAGCAAACAATGATGAAGTCCATATTAGCATTTGCTGCCCCTGTGAAATCATTTGACAGACTGCATATTTAAATATGGATGTGCCAAGCTCGCAACCTTGAAATTTGGGAGATAAGTAAAACCGAGAAGTAGGGGTGGCGAAAAAAAAACTCGAGCACAATTTAGTTAGCTTTTTTTAAGGAAGCAGAAATGTCATACACTGCTTCAAATGATTGCCAGTAGCTTATTTAGACATCAGTAATTCTACTAGTATTCGGAATCGTGCAGCATACGAACGCACGAGTAGCTGAGCAAAATGTGCAGTGTCCCACTAACGCTAAAAGCCCCTTCAAAATCTCAATACGCTTTTCTGCAGGGCACTTGTGTACTGCGGCGAAGGTGGCTCAAGTAGCATTGAAACCAACGCTAAGAAATTTTCTAACTGCTACACCACTATCCCACTTCCCACCTCTTTTTTTTTTTCACCTCTGTTGGAACATAACCTCTGTTGCTGAATATGGGTTTAAGTGCCTCAATGTAAAACACAGAAGTAACGGTGGTGTTGAAGAACACAAAAATATTGGTGTTCGAAAAAGAAAAACCTTGTGGTTATGCCGTATGTACATGGCATTTCACACAGATTGAAGAAGGTTGCGGCCAGAATTGATGTCAAACAGGTCTGTTCTGCACCAAGCAAACTCGTGGGTAGTGCAGCTCGGCACGATAAGCAGAATATGTGACATAAAACATGTCAAGAAATACTGCATGTGTAACACATGTGTGGTGTATAGCATCCCTTTGAAGTTGTGACAGGTTTTACGTTGTACAATCTGGTCGATGTGTGAATGTTTGGCTGAGAGAACATGAAAATCTTCTACCCTCAGGCACTGGTTGCAACTCGCCGTTGCATTGCAAGCTGTGTGGTTGTATGCCCCTCTTTGATAAGGTGACAATCTTAGGTAAGGCTAAGACGCAGCGTGAATAGGAGATTATTGAGGCACTGCATATCTAAAACTGGGTCCAGACAAATGTGTTAGCGCAACTTCAGTTTATCTCACAAAAAAAGAATGCTCGTTTCAAGCACAGAGGTGATTTGCTTAGATTAGCCAGCTTGGTTTTTGGTATCTGTGCATGCGTTGTATGAACTTGGGAAAAAAGTTTTTTACGAAATGAACGTCAGTTATTAGTGCCACGTTTCTGCTGCTCTGTTTTTTTCAGATTTTGAGGTTCTGTGGCTTTTTTTGTAATTAACTTGGTATCCCAGAATAGACAAAGATAATGAGCAGCTCGGTAAGATATGCCAATTGTGTGTTCAAGCTGCACCGATGCCTGCAGGATCGTCACCAGTTCTGTAGCTGAAAACCAGGCTATCATGGTCTTGTCTGGAAGTAGATTTCGCATTTCCTGTGGATGGATATATGTAGTTTATTGTGGTCTATTGCCACAGTAAACAGATGAAAGCTGTGCCCTGAAAACGTCCATGGCTGGGACGGTCGTAGATGCCCTGCATATCCTCTTTAGCACTTTTAAGTTGATTGATATGTGGGGTTTAACGTCCCAAAACCACCATATGATTATGAGAGACGCCGTAGTGGAAGGCTCCGGAAATTTCGACCATCTGAGGTTCTTTAACATGCACCCAAATCTGAGCACACGGGCCTACAACATTTCCGCCTCATTTGAAAATGCAGCCGCCGCAGCCGGGATTCGGTCCTGCGACCTGCGGGTCAGCAGCCGAGTACCTTAGCCATTAGACCACCGAGACGGGGCAGCACTTTTGGGTTGCCACGCGCAATCGTAACAGATAACGGGTCGCAGTTTTCAAGCTTTCAAGATTTCAAGAATTTTGCTAAACTGAATGGAATAAAGCACATGCGCACTGCACCATATCACCCACAATCGAAGGGGTTAGCGGAGCGAGTGGTGCGTACCATCAAGCGAAGCCTGAAAAAAAAAGCAAGGCTCAATGCCAACGCGGCTGGCCAGGATCCTGCACACTACCACCTAACACTCCTATCGGATGGCAAAACACTAGCTATGCTGCTGAAGTAGAACTAGGCATCTAAATATATGTGCATACTCACATTTGTTATTCATCACATAATGTACTAAAATTTAATAAAGAACATAAAATAAGATTTCTGGAACCCTGAAGATTCCAAAAATAAATTTAATTTTCTATACGATAAGTTACCACTAGCAAAATGAAGTACACTGCAATATTGCATGGCCCAATGAAATCAAACCCATTATTTTAACACAATACATGACAGTAAAAGCTTGCTAATTTGACCCTTTTAACTCCGAAAATATAATAATTCGAACGTGTAATCCAGTCCTGGTCAGAACGTACACTGTTATAAAACAAAACTCCCATTATTTGGTAATAACTGCCCTCAGCCCAGTTAATTTGGACAAGTGCCACAAATGTGTGGCACAAAAGAGCGAAAACTATGTTTACAGAGAACTGACACAACTGTTCGCACCGCCATGGTCATCATTGTGAATCGTACGGTAGCGGCTGGAAAGCCAGAACACTTCATGCCTATCTGCACTTATCACTGTGAGCGACACCTCATTGGGCATGGGTATTCGAAAAGGCATGGTCGCCACCCATAATTTGTTATTGGCAACCAAGGCTTCAGCGGCTACAACGAAATTATTTCACTCATCATCATCTAAAGAGTGAATGATGAGTGGGGCGAATCTTCGGAGGGTTTTATCGGTAAACCGTGAATCGTCTGTCTGTCTGTTCATCCGTCTGTCCATCTAGTGAACACTCCAAGTACTGCCATCTCGCATTTTTTTATCATATACAAGTATCGCCATCTAATGAACACTCCAAATACCTACAACTACAAATGTTGAGGATGTACACACGAACGTCTTAAGGAGTTTCGCCATAAAAAAGTACCAACCCATGTACATGGCGGTGGTGGTGGTGGCTGTAATTAGAGAGTGGTGCAAAGCTTGTTTCATACTAATTAATACATGGGGATCTCGAGCTGTAGTCAAATTGTAAAAGAAGTTTCAGGATGAAAAAAATTGCAGCTCGTATGCTGCTCTTATTCAAATTACTGAGCACAAAACTTACGTATTGACCAAGCAAATTAAAGTGCATTGATGTGAAAGACATTGGTTGTTTTCTTGATAAATTCAGAATTCGGTCAATTTTAGTAATTTCCCTGGTACTTTGAAATCTGAATTAGAGCAGTCACTTTAGCTCAAATTGTTCACACTGGTGATATTTTGCCATGCACATGCTTATAACTGATTTTGATATACTATACACTAGTGTTATCCAGAACAAGCAAAGGGCGTCAAAACAAATTTTGCTGCTACAAAAGAATGGCCCCATTTTAAATTGTGATTGCAAAATAAGGCACGCTGATTGAAGACCAGCTAACGCATTAATGGTTTCCAGTTAATCCCTACAAGTGCGATGGGGATTATACTATGCCGGCTAGTGCAAACTTACATGCAGCTGAAGCTCACCTTGAGATTGGGCACTTTGAACAAGTCTGAAATGAAGTAGTTGGTGTCGACTAGGCCACTCCACGAGAAGATGTTCATCAACCTAGAGGAGTGAAACGATTGAACAAGTTGCAGATAGCCTTCAAAATTAATTGATGTCAGTACTGCAGTGTCTTGCCTTTAACATAATTTTAAATGCTGGTTCAAATCAGTTGGTGATAGTTGAGAGTGCAGGTCTCATCATCAATCTTTTTTTGGCAAGGATTCCAATGACACAAATCAGTAAGAGAATGTCTCGTCCTAACTTTGAAGGCCCAAACAGAAGTGCAAAAACAAAGAGTCATAATGAAATGGCCCTAAGATTCAGAATATGGCCATCCTGAGAAAAATGTTGCCACATGCACTAGGAAAGAAAAAAATATATATGCAACTCCATCAACATTTTCCAATCTATGTGAAGCACCTAATTAGGTGGTATGTATTTATCTTCCAAAACATTGATAATGTGCACGTGTGTCCCACAGTTCAGCAAAAAACACAAATACACGAGATATTATAGCAAGAATCATCCACTTTGATCTGAGTTGACGTGGACAAACCAAGCTAAGTGGCAGACTTTGTGAAAGCTTAACTTTAGTAAAAGAATTATTCGCTTGAAGGCATACTGTGACCCCACCTCATACTATAATCACTTTATTCGAAACATCACTGTATTTGAAATTTCTGCTGCAAAATTCGATCGTCCCCCGTGTGTACTCAAAGTGCACACAGCTTGACTCTCTAAGAAAGAACCAAGCGGTAGTGACTTTTTTGCGCATGCAGTGTCAAATTAATGCCGCCAATAAAGTACTACTCTGATGCAGGCTCAGAAAAGGCCACAAAAGTACCATACCCATCATCGATCGATGAAACCCGAATTGATGCTGCGGCTGACATGAAAACACTAAGTGTAATCTTTGGTGAGCACTTATTGTGGGATGAACACATAGGACGTGTTGCAACACGTATGGTGAAAGCATATGGGGCACTGTGTAGGCTTCAGGATGTTCAGCCATAAAAAATTTGGCTATTGTTGTATTATACAATATTTGTTTCTCATGCTAATTATTATAGTTTAGTATGGGGAAAACATATAAAATGTTGTTTATGCTACAAAAGAAAGCATCGCAGCATGTTGCGAGTGTTCCTTATGACAGCCATACAAGTCCATTATTTGCTCAGTTTAACGTCCTGCCATTTAGTTACAATTATGAGTTTAACCTTGCGATGGAAGTATAAAGAAAGCGTAAAGTGAGGTCACACTGCATTTGTTCGTCTTTGCAACTTAAGCAAACCACACCACCTAAATTATGACATTTGAGAGTGAGAAACTTGGGTTGCCCTTTTTTTGCGAATAAATCATAGAAAAGACCGGCTACCGTACAATTTTGAGAGAAAAACATTAATCTAAATATTGCTTTACATTGTATGCTAAAACAGTATTTTCTTAGCCGTGCAGTTATATGAGAGTAATTCTATGCCATATATGTGTTTGCTTTTCTTGCTTAGGTATAGTACGTCTTTTATTATGATTGTGTGTAAAAGTCATCTTACATGCTCTTAATTACCTGAAAATCTATATGATTTCACCATGATACATATGTTTACGATTGTGTTCAAAGAAGTTGTGTACTGTTAGCAAAAAAAGCATGTTTTCTATGTAAAAAAATAAAAAATATTTTGTTATGCTGTATATTTGCAAAACACATGTCAGCGTTGTTTTTTTTGCAATATATAATCTACATACTGATGCATTTCAATTTTTTGTATGCGTGTGTTGTCTGCTGCCCGATTCTGTAAAAGCAGGGGACTTTGTCAAGCCACTATAATAGAGGCTTTTTTGCTCCTGTCCTAGCATAGAATATGTTTGAAATGAATGCTGAAATAAAGAATATGAATTTAAATGATTGTTTAGTAAAGGGTACCAGGCAAGTGCCACGTACTCTCAGCCGTTTACTGTAGAGCAAACAGGAGCGGTCCATTTCCATGGTGCAGCACACCCATACCGTTGATCTTGGTTGTAACCGCATCCCTTTCATTTCACGTGAGAGAACATACACGAAAGTACAGCTTTGCAGACGCACTACTGGGCCAGAAAACCACAATATCTTGGATGCTAAAAAATGCCCAAGATACCGAGGGCTGACTTGTGCCTCAGCATTGAAAGGTGCACTCTAAAGAAAAATTTTAGCACTCTGAAGAGTACTTCTCACACTGAAACATGCCATCTGATATCAGACTATCGGTCAAACTATGTGCCACGGACACAAATTTTGTTCCTAGACATGTGTTGATGGCATGGATGCAACAGTGCACAAACACAAACACTCAAAGAGAAGAATTAGCAGTTTGTCAACAAACAAGCGCCAAACGACACCTATTCTGCAAATCTGACAGCTGCATGCCTTGGGAGAAAGCCGCCTAGTGATCGTGCAAAGCCCCTACTACAAAAGTGGTTTGTCTTCACTATTTTCTTGTGTACCCAGAATGAGCAGGTGATCGTTTCTTGGGCACAACAAACTTGAACTCGAGCCATGGCATTTGCAGCACGAAACTCTCTCAGCGCTTCGTAGTGTCATACTTCACCCTGTAAAAGCGGCCACTGCCTCCCCTTTTTCCTTCCCTCTACAGTCTGCGAGCAGCCATACAAATGCCAGTCACTGCTCTCACTCGCCTTCATCTGAACTCCTGGCTCCCAATTTCAACATCCTCCAATATTGCAACACGTCATGCCCGCCATTAAAACCATCGCCACTGCTGGCATGCATGAGGAGAGCGAGATGATTTGTGCTTTGACAATATTTTCGAAGCTTCTGCATAGCTTGTCACGCTAGCTCACTGTGGCATTGCATTGAACACACATGCCTTTAAATCCATGCTGCAGGTCATGTTCTTGTGTCATTATGAACGCTCCTTTAGGCATGCCTAACAAAGGCTTTTGTGGTCTACGAATGAAGGGAACAAAAGCTCATTTTTGTTGTTACATACACATGGCTGATTCCTAAGTAATGTCAAGCAAAATCCTAAATAAAAAAAAGATTTTTTATAAATAAAGATTACGTTTTGTATTAAACATGGCTCAAAGGCATACATAGTTAAGCATGCCAGACTACTTTTTCTTTAAAAAAGTGTCTTTTGCCCAAACACTATAACTGGAGAATACTAGTCACCTTTGATGCGTTTCGCCTCACCTTGACACACACACATTCGAGATGTCACTCCTTCATCATTATCCAGATCTGAACTTGTAAACGATACTCATCTGACAAACTGACACCCAATGCATCAGATTCTGATTCGGCACTTGGAAAACTTGCCACTCAACTCATCAGTAGCAGAGCAACTGGCATGCGTCTATAGCATGTAAATGGGAATATGGAAAGAAAACTTTCTAGCTTCATGTCCATCTATAAAGCAGAACATGTGAAAAAGCTGTATTAATCTTTCACATACGTCGTGATGTCATCAAGCAGATGGAGTTCATTTTCATGTCTTTAAAACTGGAAATGCAACCATAGCGGAATTGTTTATATAATTTAACACCTCGCAGAAACAGATGTAACTGCACCTGTGGAGCAATAAACAAGAAAGCAACAAGTGGTCAACCAAACAGCCATCAGATTTTTAAGAGCAAAAAGTGATTCAAAGGACGAAACTAAAACCAGCCGCACCATGCAAGCACTTAGATGAGCAAGCGAAAGCTGGTGGGCCTCAATGGAGGAAATTAAAAAATAGAATGGAAAGATAACGGCGTATAGAAAAAATTCCACATATTCTCGAAGTTTGGAGACACACACCAAGCAAGAAATGATTGAAAAAAGTGGGCGTTACAAACCAGCAGCACCCGCACGCTTGCGCACTCGGACGAGCAAGTGAAAGCCAAAGCGCTGCTTTGCGAAGAAAAAAAGAACTATTGCACTTTTTCCTGTACCCTCGCTTGTAAGCTTGTCGTTGCTTTTTGCGCAATCTTTTAAATTTCAAACAACAACAGAGAGACAATGGCCGATGAAAAAATGTCCACATATTCCAGAAGCCTGGCAGCACATTGAGAAATAATCGAAAAAGGTGAGCGTTTGAAATATGCAGGCAACGCTGTACATGTACAGAGTATAAACTATTGGTGCGGGGTTAAGTGATGCTGTACATGTACGATGTACACCCTTAGTAGGTTAGCTGTACTCTTTCTACTGTTGAAGGGGTCTATCCTATGCTCGGCTGGTGCAGAAGCCTAGCTAACGTTACAGCCCCACACAGTCGTACCATGCACGATTAATGCCCTCTTCCCGTAGCTCGAGTCATCACGGCTGCACGGGTTCGGGCAAATAAAGCCACAGGCTAGGTAAAAAAAGCAACATTATTGCTACATTAGCAACAATGTGTAAATGTCGCGTAGACGGACTATCTGCTCGAGGAAGATAACAAAGAGTAGACGCTTTTGCCTTTCTTCGTCGATGTCCTCGCATCACAGAGAAATCCGGGGGTTGTCCTCCCAGTGGTGCCCGGTAAAAAAGAGAGCGTTTCCCCATCGGCATGATCCTTTTGACCAACCTCCCGGTTTCCCTATTCCCAACGAGGGTTGATTCCTTCGCAGAGGGAGGGTAACCCATTTCGCAAGCCGTGAAAGGGGGAATAGCGTGCACCGGCCGCGGTGTGAACGCCCCCCCTGAATGAGGCGTTATTGTCTCTTCCTCGAAGGAATTGACGTGTCCCTTCGAGGCTGCCGCAAAAGGGAAAGGAAGCATGGGCACATGTGCTTTCCCACAGTGTATTGCAGTAATTCAGATATAAATTTTAAGAAAGTAAAGTGGACAAAAAGACACACTCTTCTGGTAACGTGCCTGATGGCTTATTTAAAGAGCTATGGCGGTATTCATTCTCTCGTTCACATTATCACGCATTCATATGCGTGCAAACCTGGGAGTGGGTGAGTGTTAGCGCCGCTCATAGTCATGGCGATGAGCGTGCAACTCTCTCTCTCTCTTTTTTTTTTGTTTTGCCAACGAGCACTAAAATTGGCAATACAATAATAAATGGCTCCTCCAGGCTCAGGGCAAAAGTGTTTGA